TAATATCACATGTCATGTGTTTAGAACAGCCACTGTCAAGGTATCAGAGATCTTCATTTTGTCTTGCCTGAAAAGAATTTAGTATAGTTGCAGTACAAAATGATACAATATTGAAATAAACAATTAATTCTGTACTGGAAGTAAAATTTTAATCGATTAATTTGATATTCAATCGATTAATCAAGTTCTGGAGAGAATATATCAGAATAATAATCAATTTAAACGAGGAATAATCGGTTAATTTTATCCTGTTAATGATTTTAACTGATATAAATCCATTTTAATCGATTAAAACAGTTTAAACTATATTCCAGAGAACATTTTAATCGATTAATTCGTATTTTAACCGATTAAAACTGTACGGACAGTTTTTTTGGTATTCTCTGTAAGTGATTTTAACCGATTAAAATAGTTTTATATCAATTAAAATACTCAGTCCATGAATCCAGAGACAAAATTTGCTGATTTGATACACAGGGACTTCCAGATTTTGTTCCTGCAAAACAAATTAGGCATATTTCTGGTACCCCTTTTTAATTACTGGGTCCAATTATGTTATATGAAATGAATTTTTGGGAATCCACTTCATTTTACCTTTAGGTATAGCATATTTCTTAATTCTACAATATTTCACAGAATGACCTTTTTTCATGCAGTAAAAACATTTAATAAATGGAGACAAAACAGATTTACTATATGTAAAATAATTTTTAAATGCTCTAGTTTTCTTTCCAATAGAAGGTGTAAAACCTATACCACCACGATCAATCACTAGTTTTTGAGAATCAAGTATCATATCAAGACTAGTCTTTCCTTGTGCTAGTTTAGATGCAGTTTTTATTAAGTATGATAATTTTTTTTGTAACTCAGGACAGTTTTTGCAATCTTTAACATTACACATGCAATCAGAATTATTACCTGATTCAAAATTTTCATTCTTGGTTTCTTCATCAACTATTTTCTTTTCAAGAATAGTGATCTTGTTTTCTAATAAATTATTCATGCTTTATAATCTTTTGTTTTCAGTTTCTAATTTTTTTGCTACTGCATGCAATTCATAAAAAGCATCTTGTAATGAACTATAATTCATAGTGGTTGTTGAGTCAGAACTTACACTGGTTATTGGCGAATCCGAGTTGACCATTAAGCATATCTTTGTTGTTTCTTCATAGGTCATTTCAAGGATCTTCCACATTTGTGCAGCAGTTTGACAATGTGCTATCCTGAAAAAATCGTTTCTGTTAAGTGCAGATATGATGATATTTTTGGCAATACAATCATCTTGGATTAATTTCTTTTAACAGTCATTTAAGCTACACCAATCTTTGTTAAAAATATCAGTTTCTTGTTCAATGATATTCCAAACATTTATACTAACAGATTCAATAAAGATCTTCATCCTAATTTTTCCAAAATGGATAATTTGTTCCACAAAACAGTGGAGGTCTATTAATACAAGCACCCTCAGAAAAAAAAATTTCAACCATTAAAAAATTTGAATCGACTTGAATAACTCTCAAGAACCTTGCTCTGATACCAATTCTTAGAAAAAGAGGCTGAGATCAAGAGGGGGGTGAATTGATCTTTGAAAGATTTTCGCAATTAACAGATTATCTATTTCAAAAATTAAGATTTCAGATCTGTTCTTGAATCACACAGCAAGCAATCAAAAAATAAATGCAGCAACAGAATTAAAGAAAAGAAAGGTTTAAAAAGATATCACCAAGGTTTATACTGGTTCACCCAATCCCAAGGCTACGTCCAGTCTCCAGCCAAATTTCAGCTGGGTTCCACTAGATTAAATGTTTTACAGATCACAACCTTAACCTTACACTCAATCTACCACAAGAACCACAATTTCAGTTCCTGCACCTAACCTTTCACCAAGAACCAAATTCCAGTTCTTGACAACCTCTACAACCAAATTCCAGCTGCAGAGAAACCAGTGCCCACAATTCCAGGCACCAACAATACAGAAAAGAATGTAAAGAAACAAACAGAAGAAACTAAAACTCTCAAACCAGTTTTATGCAGTTCTACAATATGTGTTTCTTCTCCAAAAGAATGCAATTTTGCCTCAAGAAAGAACTTTGATGAACTTCACAAAAACTAACGTGATTTTTTCTTGAAAGTAGTACTTTTGATTGCTTGATTGATTGCAAAAAGATGTGTATCAGATATTGTTTTAAAATGATCAAGCAACTCTGTTTATATAGAAGATTTTCAAAGCTATCTGGTTTAATTAATCTGTTAAAATAATCTTTTAATCTGTTAAAAGCCTTGTTTTAATCTGTTAAAACTTCTTTTAATCCATTAAAACGTTCTTGATTATTTTCCAGGTTTGTTTTAACCGATACGAGAACGTTTATATCAATTAAAACTCTTTGTAAAAAATCTTCTAATTTGTTTTAATCGATTGTTTCGTCTTTCAATCGATTAAAATACTGCAAGATATTCTTATAAACTTTTTCAAGTGATTTTAACTGATAAAAGATCGTATTAATCGATTAAAACGTGTAGTAAAAATTTTCTTAAGTTGATTTAATCGATTGAAACGTAATTTAATCGATTGAAATAATTCTGATCGGTCATAACTAAATTCTGATCGATCATATCTGATTCTGATCGGTCATAATTGCATTCTGATCGGTCATATAGTATACCAAATGAAATTAATCGATTAAAACGAAGTTGTATCGACTAAAATACTGCCAAAACACTTCTCTGAACATTTTAAGTGATTTTAATCGATTATTTCGAAGCTGTATCAGTTAAAATACTAACAGAAGGTTTTCAAAACTTTCTTTAATGAAAACAATCGGTTATTTCAAAATTATATCAGTTAAAAACTTGTTTATAAAAATGTGAAGAACATTTTAGTTGATAGAACATATATGCTATTAGTTAAAAATAGTTAATTCAAAAGCTTTTATCAAAATACTTTGTTTTTAACTGTTTAAACGTTTTTAGAGGCATTTTGCAAAATCTTTTAAGTGAAGAAACCTCATGCAGCAGAAAAGATAAAAATGATTATACCTAAGCAGAGCTGCAGACACACTAATCCCTCTACTCTTTTATCTAAGTGACTTTTGACTGCCACAAAGTTGCCTTTGACTTCATTCTTGACTTCATCAAATCAACAAGATCTTTGCCATAGTATTTCAATAAGATCTTCATCACTTTCACTAATGTCTTAAGGTTTTGGCTTGAAAATGGGGGGAATCTCTTATGTGGGTTGAGCTCATGTCTCATTGGTATTGCCTCTCCCTGGTGAATCCCCCCTTCAAAGATCCAATAGTGGTTCAGAGTCAGTGGTTTGTGTGATGACCAATCGTGTAAGAGTGGTACCTATATCGAAAGTCTCCCTGATGGTGGATCATACTTGTGTGCCCCGTTATGATGAACAAAGGTACAAGTAAGGGTCACTAGTGAGCTTGAGGAGGATGTACCAATGTGATGAGACTCACACTTCAGGGGGAGATTGTTGGAAAATTCAAGTGAGTTTAAGTCCTACATTGAATAAGAATGAGAAAGTTGAACAACATATAAGGAAGAAAGACCATAACCTAATACCTTAAGATTTTGGTTGAAAGTGATGTTAATCTCTTATGTGCATTAGGCTTATGTCTCATTAATGTTGTCTCTCATCAGTGAATCCCCCCCCAAATGACCCAATAGAGTTAATGGTTTGTGTGGTGATCGACCATGTAAAAGTGGTCCCTGTATCGAAAGTCTTCTTAACTCACATTGAGTAAGAATGAGAAAATTGAACAATATATAAGGAAGAAAAATAAATAACCTAATGCATTAAGATTTTAGATTAAAAGTGGTATCAATCGCTTATATGAGTTGAACTCATATCTCATTGGTGTTATCTTTCTAATGAATTCCCCTAGAAAGACCCATCACTAATCACTACCTTCCATCCATGAAATGGGCCAACGAAATGGATCATTAAAAGTTGTAGCCAAAATTTTGGTCAAACTAACACCTTCACCACCTTCCCAAACAAGATAAGCATGGATATTATCTGTAAATGGAGCTTCTAACTTAAAAGAGTAATAGAAAATTGCTAACCATTGAGAAGTATGTGAATACTACATAATTTCGTAGTCTCATACTTAGCAAAGAGATTTATGAGATGAAAGATAATTATCAAATAATAACTATTGAGAAGGACACGTATTTCTAATAATCATGTTAAGTATTAAAATAATAATAATAATAATAATAATAATAATAATAATAATAATAATAATAATAATAATAATAATAATAATAATAGGGATTGAATGGCTATAATAACACAAACAAAAATAAATTATATAAAAATAATTATATTTACAATAAATAAATATATATATGTATATATATAACTATATTTACATTATATAGGTAAATTATATAAAAATAACTATATTTACAATAAATATATATATATATATATATATATATATATATATATTTACAAGGTCAAAAGTACTCATAAATATATTATCTTAAATTTTAAATTAAAAATAATATTATATTTTATTATATATTTGGTCTACTAGAAAAATATCTCTTTAATACTTTTTTATTTTAAATATTTGTCTACAAAATATCATAAAAAAATAATTATTTAAAATAGAGAAAAAACTTAAACACAACAAAATGGTAAATTACTATAACTGTAATAATTTTGTTTTATACCAATGGATAACGTACATTAATGTTATCATATTAGTTAGTACTATCACCATAGTAACCAAAAAAATGAGCTTAATAATGTTTTAGAAACCAAAAAACATAAATAAAAAAAGAGTGTACGTTTTGCGAACATCACTTGAACACGTATTTAATGTATTACTAGAGGACATTGTTAGCTGAGGAGTGCACTCCCAAGTGGTAGAAAACGACGCAATTACGAAAGTACACGTGTCCAAATTCCATTCGCCACGCTCCTCTTAAATTTCCACCAATTTCGTCTTTCCTCGATCCATTCCCCCTTTGACTTCCCCATGGCTCGCTACTCTCTCTGCGCTCTACTTCTCTTAGCCGCCGTGGCCGCAGCCGCTGCCGCTGCGGCCAACACCGACACCGACGACATCCTGATCCGGCAGGTGGTGCCGGAGGGCGAGGTGGAGGACCACCTGCTGAACGCGGAGCACCACTTCTCGACCTTCAAGGCGAAGTTCGGGAAAACCTACGCGACAAAGGAGGAGCACGATCATCGCTTCGGCGTATTCAAGTCAAACCTGCGCAGGGCGAGGCTTCACGCGCAACTCGACCCCTCCGCTGTCCATGGCGTCACCAAATTCTCCGATCTTACTCCGGCGGAGTTCCAACGCCAGTTCCTCGGCCTCAAACCGCTCCGGTTGCCGGCGCACGCACAGAAGGCCCCCCTCCTCCCTACCAACAATCTCCCCAAAAATTTCGATTGGAGAGACAAAGGAGCCGTCACTAACGTCAAGGACCAAGTAATTATCATAATAATGAAAAAATAATTATTAAATTTGTTTATTATTATTATTATTTGAAGATTTATTTATTTGGTGTGAATTTTTATTTATTTATTTTTTTGTGGGTAGGGTTCGTGTGGTTCGTGTTGGTCTTTCAGTACCACGGGGGCGTTGGAAGGAGCTCACTTTCTGGCTACCGGTGAGCTATTGAGCCTTAGCGAGCAACAGCTTGTGGATTGCGACCATGTGGTTCGTTTCTCCCTCTTAATGCCTTGTCCTCTGTTTTTAATTTTTAGCCCCTTTTTGGTTTTGATCTTTCCTTTTTGTGTTTACAGTGGTATCGCTAAGTGTTTGTAAAATTGATTTTGTTAAAATTAATTTTGAGGTGAAGTTTTTGTTTGTATTATAATTTTTAAATTAAAGCAAAAGTTGTCTAAGATTGTAGTCAAAATAAATTTTGACTTGGAACGCATTTTTCTAGTGAGATCAAACACTTGCGAACATCTAAAGTCGGGTTAACTAGCGTGATTTTTTATAATATAAAGTGAATCCGATCGTTGTTGAATGTGATTTGAGTGTGTATGATATGCTAGTATACAGAGTGTGGTTGGAAATGAAAAATCATAGCTATTAGTAAATAATTGTTTTTATTATTTTTTATATATACTTCCGCGAATTTAAATTGTTTTTATCACAGTGAGATAATCTGAATACACACATAAGACGATGAAGACATGATGTGCCAGACCGTACGCTATCACTTTAAAATAATAGCCGTGATGTTAGACATGATTCTAGATTGGACATTTCAGATCATTTTTACTGTTTTACTATTTTAGTTTTATTTTCAATTGTTATATTAATGCGAATGAAAATTTCATTGTGTTTATGTAACGATGCTATCTGATGGAACATTGATGAATGTGATGTGTATTATATAACTTTTCAAACATTCATCTTCTTTTCTAATTTATGTTTTTTATTTTTTTTCTTGTTAATTTGATCGTCATTTACAAGTTGTAATGTAACTATGCTATCCACTTATGCGCTATAATTTTGAAGTTTATTGGAATTCCTTGTTAGTGTAACATTTCACTTGTGTCTCGATCATGTGTACCTTCTAGTTGGTAAGACAGTAAAATGCTAAACTTACATATAATTTATGAATTAACGGCTATGAATCTCGCAGTGTGATCCAGAACAATATGGATCGTGTGACGCAGGCTGTAATGGTGGTTTGATGAACAACGCATTTGAGTACATACTTGGGTCTGGGGGAGTACAGAGAGAAAAGGACTATCCATACACTGGAAGAGATGGCACCTGCAAATTTGACAAAAGCAAAATTGCAGTTTCGGTGTCTAATTACAGTGTGGTTTCCCTTGACGAAGAACAGATTGCTGCAAATCTTGTGAAGAATGGCCCTCTTGCAGGTACCTTAATTAAAGACCTAGCACCCTAACTTGTTCCCCCATCACCCCCCCTCCACAAAAGAATTATATATAAATACATATTTCCTTCTTTCTTAAAAAGATTTAATGTGAAATTATAGAAATACTGACCTTTGCTTTGCTTGGTACAGTTGGTATCAATGCAGTTTATATGCAGACATACATTGGTGGTGTCTCTTGTCCATACATCTGTGGGAAGCATTTGGATCATGGGGTTCTTCTGGTGGGTTATGGTGAAGGTGCATATGCTCCTATTCGTTTTAAGGAAAAGCCTTACTGGATCATTAAGAATTCATGGGGGGAGAACTGGGGAGAGAATGGATACTACAAGATCTGTAGAGGTCGAAATGTATGTGGAGTGGATTCCATGGTCTCAACTGTAGGTGCTCTACATTCATCCAGCAGCTAAACACAAGGATATGCGTTATTGTGGTTGTGTGATGTGATACTGGACTAGGATAGTTTGTATAAATATTTATGTTGTTAATTGTATGGTTTGGTACTAGTAGTAAAATCTTCTCCTCCATATAGGATCAGTAAACAACTAAGTTTGTTATGTGGTTTGTAATTCTGTATGCTTGTCAGTCCAGTGCCTTTGTTCTTTGTCCTGGCAACTTGGAATTGGAAAATACTTCAGCATAAAATTTTATTACCTTCTATTAATTTGCAGTGCATATTTTGAAATATGAGGATAATTGAACCGGAAATCTAGCTCAAGAGAATAGTTGAGAATCAACTGATAGATTTGAGGTGAGTTGCTAAAACCCTAAGGTGAGAAATTAGAGGGTACACTAAGTACTGGATTTCCAACTGGGAAATCCAAGGGGATACCTGTGGACCTCAAAATGGTGCAAGATGCCTGCAATTTTAGGGGCTTAATAAAGTACATTGCAGTATCGTGTTAAACGCTAGGAATGAGAGCCAAATGCTTAATAGATCTAGCAATCACGAACAGGATTTCACCAGGCTTAAAGAACATCTAAAATGCTATAGTAATAAATAGTCTATTCTCATCTCAGAGTGATGCAAATGAAATAAGAAAAATGTAACAACTCTCATTCATAAAAGCTTGATCTGGAACTCTATAGATAGAGGCCTCAAAGCATACAAGAAAGAACTCAAAAATTTCATTTACCAGCCACGCCAACACTTGCACAAATGAAAATAATAATGCCAACAACAATGATGTTGTTAAACCTGCATCAGATGATATTTGTGTTCCCACCACTCGCATAATATAAAAAACTTTACCCTCACTTCAGAAGGAAAGGCCTTACTTCAAGGCCCATCTATAAATTTCTGAAGTGAAACATTTTAAATGAGTAACACTTTGTCAAAGAAAACACTCGAAAATCTTATGAGCTAAACTGAAGAAACATTAAATGAGTGGCACCTGTCAGAGAAAACACAAGCTTAATATGCCACAAAAAACCAAAAATTGAAGAAGAAATTGAAAGTAGGGATGATGCATCTAGACGTGAATTTCTAGGAGGGAAGATATGACTTCAAGGCCCATCCATAAAAGTCAGAAGAACTAATTATACAAGAAGCACTTTGTCAAAGAAAAGATTTGACAAATATGAATGAGTCAGACTGAAACAAGCAAAAACTGAACTAGATAATATAAAATTGGATGTGAAGCACTAAGATGCATTTCAAATTTGGAAAAAGATAAATTCAAGGGTAGTCCATTTTAGGTGTTGTATTTTTTTGAAAAAATTTATTTAATTTCATTGTAGTTTCTTTAAGTTTAAGACAACGTTAATATTTTTTTATTATTATATTCTTATTTTTTTATCTAATCTTTAAATAACTTGTGTATATATGTATTTATTGTAATGTAAAAATAAAATGATAAAATAAGAATCTTATAATTATTTTACTAAAATCTAGAAAATTTGCCGTGTTTATTAGTTTTTACAAAAGAATCTTAAACTACAAATAAAAACAATCACACACATATATATATATATATATATATATATATATATATATATATATATATATATATATATATTATTAACTTTGACGTCAATTCTTAGTTCTATAAAGTCATCTTTAAATAAAGTTATAGAAAATTATTTAAAAATAAAAATGAATATTTTATAATGAATTTTATATATAAATGGTTTAAAATTTGATCAAATAACTTTTTTTAATTTTAGGCAATTTTATTTAATATTAAGCAACTAAATACATAATAAAATATTTATTTTTATTTTTAAACCACTCTTATTAATTCTACACTGAGAATTCTAATAAGTTTTAGGAGTTTCAATTTTGTTACTATCAATCAAAATAATTTTCTGTTTATGAAGAATATATTATGATTTTTTTTATAAAAAATCGTATAAGATAAATTTGTTGTAGATTTTGCTATCAATTTTTATGATCAAGAAATGTTTTTAGGAATATATGAAAAAGTTTTAGTAGTGAGTGAAGTTGATGTTTGTTAAAATTTTGTAATTTGTAGTTAGAAATTCAAATTTCAGATCGCAATGTCAACATGCCCTCAGTAACACGCAAATAGATAATAAAATGATCAAAGAAAGGCATGTGATTGTGATAAAAATACTGGGAAAAAAATATAGAGGTGAAGAAAGTAGTTATATTATATATCATTAAAGTTGAGAAACGTGTTAAGTGTATGTATATTTAAATTAATAATTAAATCTTCTCACAAAGTTAATTATTTTCTTTGCAAATTAATTATGTTTTGTATTTTTTTTAAGATATTAAGGGTATGTTTGATTTAGTTTTGTTTTTTTCTTTTAGAAATAGTTTTAAAGATTAATTTTAAAACATTGTTTTTTTTAATATAAGAAAAAATTATTTGACAAACAACTATATTTTTAAAATTATTTTAAATGAAAGAAAAAAATAAGTAATATAAAAAATCAGGATGAAAGTTAAAAAATTATTTTTATAACTTTATACTAATAAAAATAGATGATTTAATATAATTATTAAGAAAAATATCCCATTAATAAAAATAGAAAATATTATTAGTGAAATCTTCTTGCAGTGTTATCTTACTAATGCTCTTACTTTCTTTTTTTGTAATTATAAATTATATTTTGTATTTTGGAAGATATTAAATATGTAGGAAGATTAGGAGAAGAATATAACATCTTTCATTTCAAATGATATTTTAACTAACATAAATAAATATAATGATTCTTCTGTTGTTTTTGAGAATGTATTACTCTTCATTTTTACTCTAAAAAAATTATAAAATTAGTACATAGATTATGATTAATAATTGTATTAAACTATATATTACATGTATTATTCAATAAAATAATTAATATTATATAAAAATATATTTATTTGAATATGATAAAATTACAACAATACCAGAATAATTAATATTCTTATACAAATGATACATTAATAATAACCACAAATAAGTGTTCAAGTTGTGATTTATATATAATTAATAGTAACCACAAATAAACCATACATTTGAAAACATTTGTAATAATATATTTAAAATAATAAATAAGACTATATATTAAAACATCTATATTAGAAAAAAATAATAATGACATTACACTGTAATGACAGATCACAGTGAAAAAATTGTTAAATTTTATAATAACTATACTAAAAATAGGTGATTTCTGACTAACTCTTGAATTAAAATATAATTACATATTAAACTTTACATTATATCAATCTACATTTAATTTTTTAAACGTTTTATAAAGATATATGGAACTTTATTAGTTGTTTTGTATTTAATTATATATTCTGTATGTAATTTAGATTCCTTTTCTAGATTAAACTATTATTTAGTTATTATTTATGACAGTGTTTCTAGGAATTTTTCTTAACCTCTTATTTGTTTTGATCTATTATTACTTTCATCTTTACTTCTCTTCTATATAAAATTTTAAAACTCTAAAGAAAAATGGCTTATCAGTACCAAAAGAAACCTCTAACTATTTTATTTAGCTTCTTAATTATGGAAATATTGATGTTTATTTCTGATAAAATATTTATTTTTCTTTTGAAACTATAAAATAAATATTTAATTTCTTTTTTATATTTTTTATTGTAAAAATATCTATTTATATATTAATTATTTTTTAAGCAAAACATTTAAGTATTTTTTCATATTGTATTAATTATTTTAAAAGTTATAACATGAATAATGTATCTGTAATTAGATAGAATTATTAGTCTTTAACTTTATATGTATTTCTTTTATTCTCATCTTGTGAGTTTTCAGGGGAAGATTATAAGTTTAAAATTTGGCTAAAACTTCTGTATTAAAAATAATCCTAGGGATAATTAATTTTTGTTAATAAATTTGACTAATTATTTTAGGTAGGTCCTCTCTTAACTACGCTTTTCTTTTCTTTCTTTTTTTCTATCATTAGAATCTAGTATGAATCTTCTTAAATAGCATATAAAATAATATTTATAGTTTTGTAAATATATTCATTTATTGGATAAGTTATAACTTTTAGAGCTATATAATCTAGTTTTCATCCCCCACCCCTATAAACAAATCCATTTTGTGTAACAGTCAAGTCAAAGTGTGGTTTTCCAAACTCATGACGATAGATCTCATATGGCGTTTAAGAGTAAATATGATACATAATCTATATATACTTTTCTCTCCTCTCTTAGTTTATCCAAACACTGTTTAAGATAATATTATAATAAATTAAAATTTATCGAAACACCTTTTAAGATAATATTGTAATAGATTAAAATATCAAATCTTGGATCTATTAAAAAAACCTTGAAAAAATTATTACAATAAGCATCAACTTGGAATGCTCAAGTTTTCAGATCTTTTACGTTTAATCTTTGACTAAAAATTATATTTCAATATATATTCTTAAGTGTCGTATTGTTTAAGAGTGAAAATAAAAATTAATTTATATAATTTTTTATTTTAACCAATCAAAACACCTTTTAAAATACAAAGTTATAAGAGACTAGAATCTAAAAATGAAGAATATCTCGAAAAATAAATCGTATACTTGTTAGACTCACACTCATGAAGCATGAACACTCTGTCACGGAAGATATATAATTAAAGTCTCTTCTTATAGAAGACATTTAGAGGGGGAAAGTGTCCCCCTATTTACGCAATAAAGCTACACTGAAACTAATTCATCCTTGACAATACACTTGAACTGATATAGGTTAAAGTGATCCATCTATTATTTTAATTAAAACCTAAACAAATAGTAAACGTAGTTTGAAAGGTCAAACATATTGAAAAATACATAGTAAAAAGAAGATTATATATAGTGATTTGTGATTGAAGTAGGATTTATGAAGACGATGAAAATGCAAAATTGAAATAGGTAGGGGTATATATTGTTTTTCCAGATGGAGTTGTTGAAGATCTGCATCTTGAACATGTCACATGCAAGCTTAGTGCAGTGGGTGAGTGTGTTTGGACCACTGTGTAGCTGAACAGATATCAAGCAGAGGGAAAAACACCTCGCTGCTATGCCCCGCGCTACGACCTATATTCCCTTCTATTCATTGCACAAACCCTAGGTTGTGACCATCATATCAAACCCTAGCTACTTCACACTCTCTTCCTCTAAAATTCCACCAATATTCAACTCATCAAACAACAACAAACACAGTGCCAATAACAATCCTTCCGACATGCATTGTCCCGATTGAGACCAGGTCGACACCAAATGGCCCGTGAATTCTGTACCCTTCTTAGTTTTAACGTTAATGTGAGTCATTAATCATCATGCTTTCCTGTGCTCTGCTCCAATTCACAACAACCTTAATTTGGGCTTTTTGTTAAATCTTCAAAACCTTAATTGGCGTCAATAGTGATTGATTTATCACGTTCATTTGTTTATCAATACTATGTGGTATGGCTAGCGCAATCTTAGGACTATAATATACACCATTTCTTGTCATTGCCCGATAATAATTAATATTCGCGACTACGTTTAAATTTGCCACCATGGAAGTCAATTTCATGTGGACAATGGTAGGTCGTGTCCTATCAAATAATTGTTGACCCCAACTCCAAGACAGCAAAGCACACATCCAAACAGTTTCTCACCCAAATATCACATTCTTTCGTTTCGAAAACGAGCCTCGTTCTCTGCATTGAATCCCACAAAATAAAAATGAAGAACAATTCAAATTAGTGTTATTGCCACCTTTATATTTTCCTTCTCCATGCTAATTCTTGTTTTGTACGTAACTTCAATTTATAACCCATCCCGTGTTGGCTCATTCACCTAAATAAAATCACGTCCTTTTTTTTTATTATTATTATTATTATCGTTGAAGAAAATCGAACCTCTACAAATTGTTATTATAAGATATTTCAAATATAAGCAAGATACACTTTTAACACTAGTAGAATGGTTACAACTGCTTTTCACCGTGCTAGTGACTACCCCAAAATAAAATTCCATGGAGTACGTTGAAATTGTCAACATTAAACAACACTTTACCCATATTAAACTGATATTTGTTTAAGTAGATATCTTAATTTTAAAGGGATAAAAAAAATATATGATTAAATTTCCTTTTCAGCCTTGATGAATAATGACTGACCAATTTACCTTTTCCATAAATTAAATCAGGGCATAAAAGGTTGCAGGCATGGGGAACTATATTTTTCAAAGCACAGGATTTGGCACCCCAAAAAAGAAAGGAATATACAATTGTATGACTAGGCATTTGACTAGACAGCATGTCGTCTAGCCATGAAAAGGTTCCTATTTATCTCCGCAATCACAAACTAAATCTTTGCCCTAGCTAGTGTGAGAAGATTCAATAATCCTCTTATAAGTATAAAAGACTTTCCTATTAATAATAATAAAAAGATCGTTTGATATGTTGCTACTCATTATTTTCCAGAGAATTAACACAGCCTATATATCACGATCTTGTTTATGTTGTTTTGAGTCTTCAATAACAAATACGATAGTAAAATAAACCCACCATAAATTAATATGAGAACTTGGTTTAAGTCGGGAAATAAGGATGTATAATAACCATCACTTTTATCTCTTCTAATTAGTTTAAACATAAACCCTTATCACATTAAATACGTAAAACACAGACAAACTCATAGCATTCTTGTCTCGCATGTGTTTCTAAACGCATCTAATATAATTGTCACAAGCATATATAAAGTACAACTTCTTATGAAGAACTAATATTTTGAAAATTGCATAACAATGTTTTCAGTTCTTTACCAGATAATGCATCATGGCATATTTAATATCATTCGGGTTCATCTTAAATGTTTACAGTGGAATGAAGTTTGTGAGAGGAAAATGTTCTTAGATCATATAACAACTACGATCTAAACACGCACAAAGACAACAGTTAATAGCATGACATTTTCACTCAGAATAAGTTGAAAAGGCACGATCAACATTCTTGTTATTTCTTATCTCCCAATGAATTGAGAAGGATTATGGAAATTATCAATCATCAAATAACTCTAGCTAGAGTCCAATTATAGTTCTACATGTTAACTCCTAAATTTCAATAAACAATCATCATAAACTTTTAATTGCATTAACTACTTCTGGACATAAGATTGTTTCACTTTTCACCAATAATGATTTTGCTATTAATCCAACTCATTCTCATCTTACAGAGTTTGTGCAAGTATGCACAATGTACCGTTTTCAGACTATTAATTAGGTTTTATATATTTTGATGCATCTTACAATTATATTGCGATCGCAAATGCATGGTTTATGACATCTTCTCATCACAAATATTGTAATTGGACAATTTTTATATGATTTACTTTTCTTCTTTCTGTTCTTCGGGCGTGCTCACGAGAAACAAAGGCTAACTCTTTTTGAGGCAGTTATAAATCTTAATATATATACCAATATAATCATATAAAGATTAATATATCTCAGCAGAAGAGAACAAAATTTTGATTTCAATTCCCAGATATGGAAGAAGGGGTCAGAAGAAGAGGTAGGGAATAGGATGCAGGTTTGTGTTGCTACATGAAGATGATGAACACTGATAAAAAGAATCGAAAAGGATGATTTGTGGAATATTGAAAGAAAAGGCATTGAAAGAAAGAGGTTGGTTATTATAAATACAAAAGAACAAAAGTATAGATGAAGAAGAAAGAGACCGCTATGGTCTCAATCAGCTGAAGGTTGTGCAGCACATGTTATGGGTCAGTTATTACAAAACAAGGGAAATTTTCGTAAAGTTTTCTGGTTCTTCCTTATGAACTAAAACCAGCAGTCTACGGAAGTATCATTAACCCTATCATATCATATGTACCTTGACCTATATCATTGGTGGCAGTAGCCACTTGTATGCAATATGAACACACCTCACATGCACATACTTTGAGAAGCATTAAACATTTTGTGCCAAAGAAGAATGCTTTTCCATCTCTAGCATAAGGAATAGACATCCATGGATGATGGATGTCTATTCCAGTGGCCAATTTTATTGTGTGTTCAGAGAAGTAGTTGGTGTAAATGCTAGTTGTAATTCTCCATTTATACGTAATAATACATTTATGCAACGCAGCTATATATACATATAAATATAAATATATCGATGAATCGGGGAAGAAAAAGGGTATAATAAAAAAAATATATATAAAAAAAAAGTGAGTGAATTGCAAATCCGAGTGGTTTCACTTTTGGGACTGGTCTGCACTAGGCCAAGTTGCGAATTGCCAATGCATGGGAGACAAAGAAAAGACGCACCTGTTTTCCCAGAAATCGTGCCAAGAGTTAAAAAGAATATATGCTTTTAAAAATCTATGCTTAACCAAACACGAAACCTATTTCGTTCCATTTTGATCCGGCAAACCAACGGATAAACGGGGGAAAAGAAAAGCAGCTTCGAGTTCAGCACCAAACACAAAGCCTCACTCTATATTATTAATCCACAAAAACAAAAATACTATAAACAAATCAAATTAATCACATAATAATAATAGTAAATACGAAAGCACACATCCAAATGCTGCCTGCTCCAAAGAAAACAAATCAAAATATATAGTGTGTAGTAGATTAGATTAGAGTGTATGATGTGCACTAGAATTGATCGAGAATGAGAAGTGAGTATTTCGATAACAACGAAACAACATGAAAATCTGAACTGAGATTCGGACAAAACTAAACAAAACAAACACGCCCCCTTTAATTTCGTGAAATCATCATCTTCGACGTAATCATTTGTGATGAACTCTTAACTAGTCTAGCTAGTAGCAGCTACTTCAGCTGATGATGTTAAGAACTTAAGATCGATGCACATATAACACCCAACAACCTTAACCTTAATTATAAAGAGTCCATGAAAAACAAATACCCGGTTTCAACTTTCAATCATTATTAGCTAGAGAGAGAGAGAGAGAGATGAGAGAGAGAGAGTGAGAGAGAGAGTGAAACGTCCTTAGGATCTTGGGGGTGGGAAGAATTGCGTACCAGCCATGAAAGCATTCATCGGAGCCGTGTAGAGTGAAGCGTCAAAAGGGTTTCCGGTTGTTGTGGCGGCGGTTGTGGCGGCCATGAGAGTGAGTGGCCGAGTTTCACCGCCGCCGCCTCCGGAGGAACCCTCGCAAGCTGCACTGGCGTAAGGACCGTCCGCTCCTTGATCGTAGAGAATTCCCTTGAACACGTGCCCTCCAATGTTCACTGCGGTTTGGTATGCGTAACGCTCGTCCGGTGCATCCATTGCACTCACTTTCACACACCGAAACACCGCTGGAGAGTTTAGCTCCGGTGGAAATTGCCCCACCTCCAACCCTAACCAATAACCAACCAACCCACAAATTCATCAAGACCACAAATTAAATTAAACCATTCATGTAAATCACAGAAGCTAGCTAGCTAGCTAGCTCCAATTTCTTCTCTCCCTTTAACGGATCGCATGGAATTAGATTAACTTATTAACAGTAATAGAATAAGAAAAAGAGAGGGAGAAAGGCAAGGTGATGATGGGTAGCTATGGAGTAGAATTTCATTTTCAGAGTGAAATGATATGGACTATAGATGTTAGGTATCAGACATAGAAGACTATACTTCCTTGAGATCTCACTGCATCTTGATCTCTCTAGCAATAATATCTCATCTAATAGATTCAAATAGCTATATAGTTGAACAACGTGAAGAAGGATTTTCATTTGATGAACTTTTTCTATTGTATGTTATGGTATGTGGTGTATATATGGTGCTTCCTCACACAATTTATTTATTTATTTACCTATGGTGGTGATAGGAACTGGAGCGCAAGCGAGAGAACCAGCAGCAGCAGAAACACCAGTTGCAGCACCTTCGATACTTTCTCTGTGTCGCTTCGAGTGATCTCCACGAAACTGTGGTGGTTGATTTTGTTGCTGCAACGCAGCGAGTTGTTGCTGTCGTTCACGGCGTTTGGCGGCGGGAACCCAAGTGCTCTTAACGTGCGTTTGGCACTGAAACCCTCGACTCTTGCAGCAGGTTCTGCATCTGAGGTGCGAACAGTCTTTCTTGGCTTGGTTCCCACAGTCCTGACAGTTCATGCCGCCGCCTCCGCCGCCACCCAAGCCGCCACCGGGCCTCATCACCGTGAAGCCGAACCGGTTGGACTCATCCGAGAAAGAGACAGAAACGTCGTCGTTCACGTTGTTGGAGGAGCTATTGTTGTTGTTGTTGTTGTTTCTGCGACTAGGGCCCACGCCGAAGGAGTAGTAGTTTGTGAAGTTGTGGTGGTACGAGGATTGTGGCCATATCTCGAAGCCCTTGTTGGTGTTGTAGATCTCCTCGTTAACGTTTCTGAACAAAAATTGACTGTTGTTGTTGGTGTTGTTGTCTTCTCTCTGATCCTCTTCTTCTTCTGCTTTGTTATGCCTTCCTCCTAGAGAGAAGAACCCAGCCATGCTCTCTTGCACTCTACGATCCCCAATTCAGAGATAATATCCATATCAGAAAGAAGAACCTTCGCGAATCTTTAAACAGTTCTTCACAGGTTTATATATTATCAGACACACACACACACCGCAACTGTAATACTAATATTTTTGGGTTACATATAAAGTGCGCCTTTAATAAATTTTCTGACCGATACTAATACTTATTAATTTTCCACCCACTCAACCCTTTTTTCTCTTTTTTTCTTTTGTGGGTCTTGTTGACTCTCACTCTGTCACTGTGCCCAGACCGTGTGGGGGCGTCTCAACTATGATCTTCTGATCTCCTTTTTTTTCTGACTAAATCAGAAATTAGGTATCTCAATTTCTAAATTCCTTTTAATTTATTTTTTAAATGATCAAAAGTGCAATAACTGTGTTCTCTTGTTCATTTTTTTTATCACTTTTTATCATTTCAGCTAATTCTAGAGACTAAAATACGACAAAAACTATAAAATACACATTTTTCACACAATTGAACTGTGAAAGATTAAATTAGTGATTCATGGGGTTTGTTTTGCAGCTTTTGAGGAAAAGTGTTATTGAAAAACAGAGAAAATGAAAGAAATGTTGGGTTAAATTGGGTCTGGTTGGTGTTTCTCTGGGCGCAATAATGGCAGGGAATTAGAGTGTCTGCTACGCCGCCATGACAACTGCACCCATCCACTCTACTGTAGAAATGTTGTAATATTTATGAAAATTCGTTCTCATTTTTTCTCTTTCTAACTGCGGAGAATTAGAACAGAGAGTGGCTGTGGCGGGTGCTGTGTTTGTGCATCACAGACTCAGACTCAAACTCAAACTGGGAGTGTTTTGTGTGTGATGTGAGATGGAGTGAGTGTGTGTGCGTGGGGGAACAACAAAATCTGCGACTGCCAACTTCTCTCTCTGAAAATGGATACATCTGCGTGAATTGGGAGCATCGGATGGTGCAGAACGGTCCACGTGTCGCGTCACTGGGTTTTGGTTATTCGTCCTTGCAGCGGAAAACCCGGTGGTACTTTCTCTGAGCGTCCCCATAATTAAGATTGTTTTCTTGCGATATTTATGCTGTGAAGCGACCACATATGATATTCCACCCATCACACGTCCCCATCACCGCTCAATTCTTCCTCCACTTCCCCATCAAACGCCTCTTCTTCTTTCACATAACCTTCTTATCTATCAAAAATTCATTAATACCATTTTAAATGTTTTGATACATGTTATCTATTAATGGCCAAGACATATTAACATTTATATCAATAAATATTAAAATTATTTAATTTTATAATATCAAAGGACTCATCATGCATTAAGTTCTGTATTTAGAACATTATCACAAAATTATGAAGCAAATAACAATTCAAACCTATTTAAAATAAAGTAATCAAATGTTGTAAGTTAAAAGTTAAAACTCAATTTTTACATTATACTTTTTAAAGAGTTTACTATTTTAATAAATAGTTTTAAGTCAATTCCCAAGGTATTTGGATATGGAGATTATCGATAATTTAAATTTTTAGAAAATAAATTTTTTATTATATATATATATATATATATATATATATATATATATATATATATATATATATATATGAGAATTGTAGTTTGTATTTGAATCACATGATCAAATGGTTTAAGTAAATGATGATGGCATTTCTTCACGATATTAAAACAATTTGAGATATTCGACAATTTTTTTTAAATATTAAGAAATGGAGATTCTTGACTCTTTTTATAGACACATAATTGAAGAGATGGGAAAAAATATTTCATCATTATCATAAAGTTATTTTAATACTACTTATCAAAAATTTGATATTCTTTTATTGGACTTACTCACTTAACATTTTTAATTATTCATTTATATTTACTTATTTAAATATCGAAAAGTCTTTATAGATTACTTTTTATTTTTAATTTCTAAACAACTCAAAATTATCTCATAAATTGCGATCACATATAATTCATTCTTAGATTTTTCATAATTTTATTCAGTTAATATGTTGTAATATTTAACATAAATTATATTTAAAAAAAAAAACACAATTTGATAGTAGGTGTAGGAAGCAATTCATATTTATTTACACCATTTCCATAATTATTTACTCAAAAAATAAAAATTTAACTCATGTAGATAAAAGAAATAATAATGAGTATATATTTAAAAGACAAGAGTATCTACTAACTATTTTAGTTGTTGTTGATATTAGATGAGATGTTGATGCACGATACCACCAACTTTTTTAACCTTTGTGAAATTGTGAATTTAATCACGTAAAGTAATATGCAGCTGCGAATTTCGTGATGATAAAGTTGTCGGAGTCGAATCAGGTAATATCAAAGCCTTTCAGTTCTGCATCAACTCATCCACCAACATGAACTCCTTCTCTTCAAATGTGATTCAGTAAATTCAAATGCTTATACCATAACTATACATTTTTTAAGTTTTGATACTTATGTTGTGTTAGTAATAAACAATTTTATAATGCTATTTCATTAAAAACGTTGTTGAAACAATTTTAAAATTCATGTTTTTTAATAACGGTGTAACAAGTCTCATCGGCGAGGTTTTCTTAGTAGAAAAATTTTATAAGGTGAGAGGTTCTCCAAATTCTTGAATTAGTTTTTGAGGAATAATTCCCTCCTTAATCTTATGATTGTTACATTAGCTATTTTTGATCCATAATGAAAGAATAATTCTTAACTCAAGACAACAACTGAAAAAAAGATAGATTTTTACTCTAATACCATAATAAAATTTTAACATAAAATAAGTATTTGAATCATATCATATGACATAACACATAAAAGAATTAATGTTAAAAACAAAAATACTACTACACCATGTATAAAAGAAAAATTAGTGTTTTAATAATAAATACAAATATTTAAATTTATCATAGAAATATCATGTAGTTAAAATATTGAGGCTAAAAAGTATAACTACTTATAAACGAATTTATATTGAATGGGATGATGTTAACCATATAAAAAGTTTTAAAAATTAAAATATTTGTGAAAACAATAACTTTAGGATCAAAAGTCCATGTTCATTTTAAAGTTAAAAAATTAATGTATATTTTCATTAAATTTCAAAATTAATATATTTTAATAATTTTAAACTAAACTAAAATAATTATTTTTAATATTTTACTCTGCTTTTAATAAGTTTCATATATTTTTTCTCTTCTCATCCTCATTTAACATTTTATACTATCACATATTGAACAAGGCACTAACCAACAGTAATAATTATTCATAGGACAAAACTCGGGAATACTAGATACTATTAATGTTAGTGTTGCACTCTAATTAAATTTAAAGTTTTCTTAAATAATCTACATCTTATTACCAAAATGATAATATAATTTAAGTTTATTCTTATTAATTTTGCAACAAGTAATGTGGTTACCACCACTTTGTTGATCGAGTAGAAATGGTGAAAGACAAGCTAAATATGGAAGTCTAGTTCCTCATCTTACTCTATTTGTGTCCATGTGCTTATCAAACTTTTTTTTTTTCACAACAAGTTTTAAATCCTAATTTTTATGTATGATGAATAATTATTTATTTTTAAAAGGCATATCAATAATTATTTTTTTTATAAGACTATATAGGTTTGTTTGTCTTGTCAAATTAACTTAGACGCTTTAACCAATTTTTCCTAATCATAATATTGAGATTTAGTTTAAAATTTAATAAAATGTTAGAAACAAACAACAAAATGATAAACCTAAATCCTGTTAGTTTCCAGTGACGGGAACAGCCAAGAGGTAAAAATGCATTAATTTTATATATTTTCAATGTAAAAAAGTTTAAAAATCAAAAAAATAAAATTTATCATCTCTCTAATATAAAGAAAAGCAAAAAATAAATTAAAAGTAAATATAATAAATTATATTTTTTATATAAGTTAAGATTAATATAACTTATGCATATTTTTAAATTTTTTAATTAATTTAAAAAAATAAAATAAATTATATCTTATATATAATTTAAGATTAATGATAATTTTTATATATTTTTTATCGGTACATATTTTAAAAATAAAACGGTTAAAATTTTTAAGATAAATAATATTTTAAACTTTAAAAATAATGATATTATCATTATAAATATAAAAGTGAGATATTTTCATATAAAACATAATTAATTATATATAAAAATATAATTGACATTTTTAAAATTTTTAATTAATATATATTATTTTATATATATATATATATATCATTATTATAATAAATAAATTTATTTTTATTTTTTATTTATTTCTACCCATTTTTCTTAATTCAAATGATTTCATTTTTCATCCTCTTTTCCATTCACCCCAGTATATTCTTTAATTCAAACCATCTCTCATATATAAATTAAAAAATGTTGAAAAATAAAATTTAGTAAAAAAAATTGTAATCGGAGAAAAAACTTAATCAGCCAAGATTTAAAGAGGAATGAATCATCGACTGAAGTGAAAAAACCTTTAAAAAGTGAATATGTGATGTCACTAATTAATTGTTTACTTTTTTTGTGCTTAAATTCTGAAATGCAATTAGTAGCATAAAAAATAAAGAAATTTATTCTCGGGTTTAGTGAGAATTTACCTACCTCTGCCTGTTTTTTTCAGATTACTAATTAATATCGATTCCAATCCAACCTCGTATTCCACTCAAAATTCTTCAAGTAATCATTATATCGGTGATTGTTACTTGAATGAATGACATGCTCTGATAAAAAGAAAAAAAAAGGGAGTTTAACCATGTTCATGTTAATATATATATAAATGTTGTTGTCATATCTATGATCAAAAGTATATGAATTTGTCATTTTTTAGAAAAAAATCTTTTTTATCTGTATTCATTTTTAGTCATCTTTTTTCGTTATTATCGTATGCACCATTTCCAAAACAATGAACATAAATTTTGAAAAAAAATTCTGTTATAACCATTAAAAAATATTTAGAAATTGACTTTTATTTATATATATATATA